AAAAATTATCAGAAATAGTTGTTAGCTTTAGCGTTTTCTGAGTTAATCTACATCATTAAAATTTTATCCAAAATACAATGCTAGTAAAAAACACTATTTTCAAACAAGACCTTAGAGCAGTGGAAATGCTCCTAACGCCATGCAGCGTGATGGTGCTTTTCACGCCCCGGGGGCGTTAAACACCACCCACCGGCGGCGTTACCCAGGCGTGAAGGAGCCTGCGTAAAAGAAATGACGCTGGTGGTTCCCCTCCCCCTCCTCCCCCTAATGTCTATTAGAGCCGTTGAAGACAAAAAAAGAAAAGTTATTTTTTTTTATAAATTTCAAACTTCCCCCATCTCATTCTCACACCTTCAATCTTCTTCACACATTATTCAATTTCAAACTCCCCCCCCTCTCTTTTGAACATGAATCCTTCCAGCTCCGGCTTCTTTCCCGACAATCTCGCGCCTCACGATGCCACGATGTGGTATTTCCAAGAATTCGGGGATCATCTGTCGATCTTCGAGACGCAACAATCGGGGTACGTCGAGCGAGATTTGGTTCCGGAGACTCAACCGGAACCATCCGGCTCAAAAAAAGGTACACGCCGGAAAATCCACAAAGCAAAAGGCACGATGACAGAGGTGGCACGGTCAATCCAAAAGTGGACGCTGGAGGAGTGCTTATTGGCGTCGGCTTGGGTTGACGTCTCCGAGCATCCTATCATTGGTAAAAATTATATGTTTTCTAATATATTTATGTTTTTATTTATATAAAATTATATTTAAATGTGTCATAAAAAAGTTTCGTTTTATACTTTTTTAAAGGTTCGGAGCAAACGAAGGATGCGATGTGGGATCGTATCGAGGAGAAGTTCATCACGGCGATGAACAAGGACGGCTCCTACCGTACCCGGGACCAACTCACTCCCAAATGGAGCCACATCAACTGTAAAGTCGAAAGTTTATCGGAGTTTACGAGGAATGCGCCTGGTCCCGGAGGAGCGGGACGAACGACGCCGATGTTCTCCGGCTTGTCACGACCCGGTATCAAGATGATGGGCACCAAGGCAAGGTACCCATCGATCTTTGGAGGATTTTGAGCCGTTCCCCAAAGTGGCAACAACTCAACAATCCCGACGGCGGATCGTCAAAGAAAAGATCCTCCGTCGACGCCGAGGTTGAGGTCGACGACACTATCAGTTCGTCCGATCAAATGCCTCCCTTCAACGTTGCAGATTCCGATGACGAGGACCCCATTCCACGGCCGATCGGAAGAAAGAAGGCAAAATCATATCCATTCCAATGACGAGGACCCCATTCCGTTTTTCTCGCGACGAAATCGATCGGGCAATGGTTGAACAACTTCGGGTGTTCAATCTTCGAGAAGAAGAGATGTTGAAGCTAAAGGAGAAGGAGTTGAAGCGAAAGGAGTAGGACGACGAGATCAAAATAATGGAAACCGACCTTTCTACGTTATCGGGTTTTAGACGGATGATCTACGAGCAAAGACAACGAGAGATCAAGGCGAAATATAATTTACCTTAGTTTTTTATTAACGTATCTTTTTTATTATTGTCGTTTCTTTTTTTAATGAATGTAATTTTTTAAATTTTAAATTATTGTCATTTCAATTTCTTTAAATTTAATGAATGTATTTTTTTTATTATTCGTGTTTCAATATAATTAAATAATAAAATAATTACATTTTATTAATTTAGTTTTAGAAGATGTATATTTAAAAATGTAAAAAATGAAGGTTTGAAGCCCTAGTTTGAAGCCCCGGGGCTTCAAACCCATTTCCAGTGAAATTTTGGTGTAAGTTAAAGCTGATGTGGTAGAGAGAGAAAGATCGAAGCCCCGATTTGAAGCCCAAGGGCTTCATGACCATTTCCAGTGCTCTTAGTGTTAAACTCGGTCTAGATCTAGCATCAGTGTTCGCATAGGTCTAAATTCAATACATCCAAATTTGTCTTTAATTTATGAGCAAAAAGATTTTTCATTGTGTTTAGTTCATTGCTCCAATTAGGGATGACAATTCAACCCGAACCCGAGCTTAACCGACCCGACCGACCACTAAAATATCCGAACCCGAACCGAGAATAAAATAATTCGAACCCGGCCCGAAATCTTTTGAAAAAGTGCTACTATATCAAGTATGCCATTTATAACATTTTTATAATTCCTTAATAAAAAATGAGACACAAAAAAAAATTAGATTTAATCTTTTTAAAATTATTGGGGTACATTGAATTGATTATTGGTTAAAAGTCGGGTTCGGGTTTCGGGTTGGAATGTCGGGTTCGGGTCGGGTCGGGTTTTTTGGCTTAAAAAGACAGGTTTCGGGTCGGGTTCGGGTTTCGGTTTTAAAAGTCGGGTCGGGTTCGGGTATAGTACTATCCAACCCGAACCCGACCCGTTGCCATCCCTAGCTCCAATCACACCCCCAAATTACGCATTGCATAGTCATCCCCTCCACCAACTCCATTTAAATGCGTTTACGGGTTTATTTGCGAATATCGTTAAAAATTACCGTTAGCATTTTGAAAAGCTTATCTATGGATAACGCTTTCAAAGTAATCTGCACCGTTAAAATTTTATTCAAAACGCTAGTGTTATTCCCAATCAGGGTCTACATTTCTTCTAGGGGTCCGTTTGGTATACAGAATTGATGGAATTGGATTTGAATTGAAAACAAAATTTCATGGGGTTCAATTCCATAGAATTAAATTCTCCAATTTCAATTCATTTTTTGCACTATCAATTTCAAATCTACATAAATTTTGTGCTACCAAACACTATAAGGTCCCGTTTGGTACACAGAATTCAAATTATGGAATTGGAATTGAGGACTTCAATAACAAATTTGGTGTTTGGCAAGACAAAAATTATGTGGATTTAAAATTGATAGTGCAAAAAATGAATTGGAATTGGTGAATTCAATTCTATGGAATTGAATCCCATGGAATTTCAATTCCAATTCAATCAATTCCATATACCAAAAGGACCCTAATCAAAATTGAAATCCTCAATTCTAATTCTATAGTTTGAATTTCGTGTACCAAACGAGGCTTAGTAATAATTACCGAGAATTATCATTATAACTCCACTAAACAATTTTGGCTCAAGTTAGGAATGGCAAATGCACGAGTGCACCACACAACTTCCATCCTTCTCAGTCGTAATTCTCCTTCTATTGAGTACTTTCTATAGCTTAGCTCAAGTAATTACTCCATTCGTCCCAATATGTTTGTCTAGATTGACTTTTTAAGTTAAAAAAAATGAATTGTGAGCTTCAATAATTCTCAAACTACAATGTTGTTTAGTATAAAAATGATTTAATTATCAAAAAATCAAATAGGACAAATACATTGGGAGGAAAATTTTTTGGTTCACTTTTAATTTTGGTTCGAATTTGATAATGTTGGTTTGAAATTAATAATGTTGTTTTTGTTTTTTCAAAATTAGTAATGTGGCAATTAATTAAAGTACATGCTTGAATTGTGCGTCAGGGTGGCACCATGATTCATTCCGGATTTCGGGAGGTACAAAATATGTGTTCAACCAAATCTCCAAACATAGTGTTGATAAACAATATTTAATTTTTAATTTAAAAGTTAATTACTCTTTTGTGAAAATAAACCTTAAATGATGGATAAATTGTTTGGAATATTAATAACTGGTTAGAAATAATTTTGCAAATAGTCCGATCAAAACGAAAAAAAAATTAACTTAAAAATAATTAGATAAAACATACTTATTTTATTTGACATATAAGCAACTTAAAAATCAATTTATAAACATAAAGAAACATGTCATCAGTTAATTTATAAATTAAAAAGTGCTTATAAATAATTTTGACTAGCTTTATAAACACAAAGAAAGATTCACTATCACCATATAGTATGACTTATATGTGACTGTATCCGTTTTGCTAATTACTGCGCTAGTAGATGATCCATTAATTTGTGAAATAAATGTTTTTTTGTAAAATGAAATGTACCCAATGGCAGAACCTAATTTTCAAGGGAAGAACAAAGGGGGCTTTAACACTAATCAAGAACCAAAAGTGTGGATATTGAATGTCTTGAACCAAGAGAGGGAATAGTCTCCAAATTCATGAAGTGATACATACACAAATGTCAATGTGAGTGAGCAATCCATCAAGAATATGATTGGCACATATTAATGGGAAATGTTGCTATCTCATAATATACTGCAGGATTTTACTCACCACAAACTCGCCAATAAATTACTCTTACTATCGAACATTCCAAATACTTGATCCGAGGCCAATGAACACACTAACAAAAAAGAGCATACATGTAGCAACGACCTCCCTTATTGAGAGAGTCAAGTAGAATTAAACTCATCAAGGCAAGTAAAAAAAGAAACTAAATATCCAAATAGTGCATTTTCTTTGATAAAAAAAACTCAAGAACAATTCACATCAAAGAGAAAACTAGTTTGAAAGAACAGGGGAGACCTGAAATTGTGGATATTTTCTAGCTGAGTTTTGGCTCTTTCACTATTTGACATTATAATGATTATAAAATATCACACTACACGTGTGCACAACATCTCTATGCAGTATGCACTAGAATGAATTCATGTCGAAGGTAGCAAAGAAAAGCTCATGCCAAGATTGCAAAGTTTAACAGTCCAAAAACTATAACAGATAATGTGAAGATGCTGGCTCTGTTCAAGAACTTCATAATGCTAATGTATGTAAATGATTAAAGAGCTCTTGTGCATATTCCTAAGTACCGGAAATAGCAAAACAGCATACTTTCTCATCATATTCATTAATCTTCAGAGGATTACTTAAAAGACAAGTCACAAGTAATACCAATTGGATTCAATCAAGTGACAAAACATTAGTGTGCTTATAGCTACACTCCAAAGAAAAAGACCATTCTGTTTTCTATTTCCCAAAATGTAAAGATAAGCTAAGTAAATGAACATTGTGCTTGGGCATTGTTTCTATTCCGAATTTACTCAATAATTGAACACCAATGAAAGTGGCATGAATATTTCTTCTTAGAAATCAGATGACCTAAAATCATATAAGAAACGAAATGACCAGAAACAACAGATTATTTTTTAGCCGTTAAACTAAACATAAACAATATAGCATCATTGTGAGTGACAAAACAAGCATCCCAAAATTACACAGGAAGTAATATAAAGAAAGTAAAGCAATTAAGATAAAGTTTTATATTCCATATAGCAAGTGTCAACAAGGAAACGAGCAGATCTGATCTAAAACTGACCGATCCGGCAATCAGATCAAGTTGATCAGTCCATATTCTTCAGCCTTTTGATGCCACTGTTAAGCTGGTCGATACGGACGACAAGTTTGGTGACGGAATAGAGGAGCCAGTAGAAGATGAGAGCGGAGGCGATGAGAAGGGCGTTGCGCTGTGACTTCATAATCGATTTCTGGTGGCGGAGGTGCTCGGAGGGGGAGCAAGAATCGGATTCACAGGTGGGGCGGTTCTCGTACTTCCAGTAGATGTCCATCAACAGGAAGAGGCAAAAGGGGACGATCGAGAGGAAGGGCTTGAGAAGGTTCCGAGTGACGGCGATAAGGCCCTTGCGCAGCGCGTCGAGGCCGGGGACGGTGAGCAGGAGCAGCATGATCGCCTCTGCACCGGCGGCGTAGCCTAGCACCACCCATTCCAGCGCCATTGTTTTAGTGCCTGTAGAGTTGAGGATGGAAGAGAGATTTGAGGAAGGAAGAAGACGTTCCCTTTCTTAATTTGGGGAATTGCTCGGTATTAGGGATTTGAAATTTGACGAAGAAAGGAAGGAACAAGTTCCTTTCTTTTTCGTAGTTTCCGTGTTGAGTCTTGACGTGTAAGAGAACTAGATTAGACAGCGCAAATTGTTCCCCTATGTGGTCCCGGATGAGTGCAAACGGCAAAGATTAAGATTTAAGACTACTTTTGGTTGAAGCATACTCCAATCATCGTAGCACCCTAGCATTATTCACTTTTGGTTAAGTAATTTAAGGTGGAAAAAGAAAATAAGAAATATTTTTCTTGTTTGGTTAGAGAAAAAAAAGAAAAAGAAAATGAAAAGAAAATAAAATAAAAAAACAAAATGTACTAAGAAGAGGAAAAACAAAATTCCTCCTTTTTTGGTGAGAAACATGAGGAAAAAATTGTACTTCGTATTATTTATATAAAAAAATGGCAGAAAAAATAATAATGAGTGTGAATAAAAAATAGTTAAATGAAAAAAATAAAAATTAAAAAATTAAAATAATTTAAAAATTATAGTTATAATAATAATGATAGTAATAATACATGAAAAATATTTAATTTTTAGAACCATAACTTGGGAGTGAAAAATGATTGAAGAAATGGGAATAGTTAGGAAAATTGGAAAACATTGGAAAGAAGTGGAAAAAAACTAAAAAAACTAGAAGGAATTAAAAGAAACTGGAAAAACTAGAATTAAGTAGAATAAAACTAGAAGTGAAGATTAAACTCTACAGAACGCGCTATAAATCTCTTAATTAAAGCACCAATGATGAGTTTTATCCCACCAACTATGGATGCACAAAGAACAATAATAGGAAAAAGTAGATAACTCCAACTTGGGTTTAGAGAGGAGCTTTCACCCTTTATTTATAGTTTACAGTTTATGATAACCAACCATTGTTTGAGTTTCTCGCCACAACTGATCTGATGGGCCCCAATTGTTGGTGGAGAACTGGTCATCAATCACCCAGGATCCGTGGGATTGATCTCTCGCTTGCTAATCCGTGGCTCAATCCTAACTCATAAACGATACACTTTCGGCCCACACTACACAAATGCCAGACAAATTAATGTAATAACCTATTGGACCGGTTCTATTTCTCGTTAGGTCAGATATCCATCACAATATAATTCACCTGGACTCCTTGCAAATTTCGAACTTCTGTCACAATGTTTTATCGTCTTTCTTTTCCTTAATCCTCTTTGAAAAAAATCTCTTCTGAAATGACCCTCTTCATCGCAGTAGTAACCCCAAAACTTTTTATTAATCGATTTGGAGCGTTGGGACACCCCCCCTCTCTCTCTTTTAAGCCCTTTTTCCTACTAAGAGGCTGTTCTTTAGGGCTTGAACTCCTAACTTCTAGTTTCTTCCAGTTTCTTCCAGTTTTTTCCAATTTTTCCAATTTCTTCCAGTTCCGTCCGGTTTTTCCAGTTCCTTCCAGTTTTTACCAGTTTCTTCCAACTATTCTCATTTTCTAAGATCTCTCACCTTTCCCTATTACTTAAAATTTTCTCATTTATCTAAGTTTTATAATAAAAAAAGGTAAGTTAGAAAAGTTTAGAGAAAAAGACTAAAATAGGAGTAAAACACATAAAAATTGTAAAAAAAAAAGTTCTATGTGTTTATTCTAAAAGTAGGACTTCAATGAAAATAAAATGTCAATAATGAAAAAAATAGGTTTTATTAAATTATGTGACATGTCTGAGATTTAAAACAAAATCTTGTAATATATAAAGTGTAATTACAAATATATTATTTATAATAAATACTGCATAAATAAATTGAGGTGCAATGTAACCACAAAAAATTTTTAAAATTTAATTTTTTGATATTTATGCTAACTTTATATTATATTTATTTTTTTCAAAAATAGTTTTTTGTATTTGAAAAATAACAATACTTTTTTTTGTATCTTGAAGGCATTCAGTAAGATTATGTGATGATGATGATGATGATAATAATATAATAATAATAATAAAGATAATAATAATAATAATAATAATAATAATAATTTATAACAACAATAATTTAAAATAAATTTTTTAAAACTTTTTTTAGGTTTTAAATTTTTTTTGAAGATTTTCCAATTTCTTCCAGTTCCTTCCAGTTTCTTCTAGTTTTTTTCAGTTCCTTCGAGTTTCTTCTAGTTCCTTCTAGTTTTTTCTAGTTTTTTTCCAGTTTCTTCCAGTTTTTTCCAGTTTCTTCCAAAATCCAGCTATTTTTTTTCTAGTCCTAAAGAACAGGCCCTAATGATGCTTAGACCTAACAATTAGGTCAATTGGTTCACATCTAGTTCAGATCTTTTCGGTTCAGGTCTCTTCTCGATATATGTTATTATCGGTTTGCTGGGTGAGTTTGAGTTGGTTCAGTTCGCTTCCAGGTTTAATTCGGTTTGATTTTTTCTTATTTGTTTGGTTCAGCTACATATCGTTCACGTTCATAGCGGTTTCAGATCAGATTCCTTGGTATTAAATTTCCAAATCATTGCCACGTCTACTAATGGTTTGCCCTCGTTTGAAACCTCGACACTCCTCCATCGTGCCTCGCCCATCAGCAATGCTCCAACTACCTAATCAAAGTTTAGAGCCTCTTTTTTCAAAGAAGAACGTGGTCATGGTGTTATCAAAAGATGAAGGCAAGGAAGCCAACAAAAGCAACGCCTTGTCCTCTTAAATCTTTACCTCTATGGGTTCCAACTCTGTCGTATTTTTTTTTGAATTCATCCGGATTTCCATTGAAGTTTGCTTCATCTTCCATTTGGAGACTGAATAATATTTTCTTCTAATATAGCTTACTTGTCAATGATTTTGACATGTACCGGCTCTAAAGCTTGTCCTAAATCTCAACTGTATTTGTAAAATCGAGAACCTCCTAAAGTGTATTATTTGCAAGGCATATGCAAATTGTACTTGTTTCCATGCCCTTCAAATCCTCCCTTTCTTCTTCCGATAATTTTTCTAGATTGTCATTTTTCCAATATTTAGCCCACTCAGCATTCGTCATTTTTTAGTCCTCTGAACCTTCACCTTTAGAGCCTTAATTGTCGCTTCCCGAGGAAGAACACTGTTTACTCGTTGTTGCCGCAGAGTTAAATCGACCAATCCATCAAAAGGTTTGACAAAAACATTTGAACTTTTCATGGATGCCATTTTTCACGTTCTTTGATTTTCTCCTCTTACCGCTTACAAATCCCTCCTTCCCAGCAGAACTTGGATTTGATACCAATTGTTGGAATTTTAATCACGTAAGACACAAAAAAGTATTGAAAACACCATAACAATCATATATATGAGATAAAATTATATTTTTGCTATTTTAGGACAATATACAAAAAAGAAACTCTCTACCCGTTTACAAGGCTAAAAACTAAACACTCATAAACAGACCTTTTCAATTCTGGTGATGTCTTGTGTAGGATTCTCTTACTCTTTCGTCCTCTTACTTTTCCACGAGAATCCCAGGCTTTGTAAATTTGGTCCAATGCATATGATTTATGCAAAGACCCAATACCTTAACCCTTTGTTTGGATGAGATAAAGAATGAAAGGAAAGAAAATAATGAGAAAGAAAATGGTTAAAAGAGAAAAAAGTAAGAAAATGGGAGGGAAATAATTGTTGTTTGGATGTCAAGAAAATGATGAGAAAAAGTGAAAGAAAAGAACATATTATAATAGAAATTGCCATTATTTCCCTTTTTTCGTGTTATATATTGAAATTAAAATATATATATATTTTTAAAAACGAGCTGGTGACAACCATTCAATGGAAGAAAGAAGGGAGAAAGTAATTTCATATATATTCTTACCATTGGTACGGCTTTGTGGGGCGACACACGAGACAAAAAGAAAAGAGAATGAATCGTCTAAGGCCCCGTTTGGTACACGGAATTCAAACTATGGAATTGGAATTGAGAATTTCAATTCCAATTCTCGTGTTTGGTATTACAAAAATTATGTAGATTTGAAATTTGTAGTACAAAAAAAGAATTGAAATTGGTGAATTCAAGTCTATGGAATTGAATACCATAAAATTTTAATTCCAATTCAATTCTAATTTCACCAATTCCGTGTATCAAATGGACCCTAAGGATTTGGTTTGATTGGGGTGTTTCTTTTTATGGAAGATTTTTAGAGTTTTAGTAGGAATAGAAATTTACTTTTATGGTTTGACCTCTTCTTATATAAATGGAGTCTCATCTTTGTATTACACAGAACCACATAATATACAATTATCTTTCTCGATATTATTTATCAACATGGTATTAGAGCAGTTTTCAAGATCCTCTTGATCTCATCACCAATACGGACGAAACTCGTCATCCCCCTCAGAGATGGCCCAAGAAAGAGAAGATAACACATTCTCTAAAGCCACAGTGGTGGTTTGGAAAATAACGACAAACAATTCATCAAGGTTAGCCGCAATTCCTTCCTGAGAGAAACCACTAGCGCTGCTGCTTCTTTACGGTAACGGGTAAATAATATTAAAAAGAATAATGTATAAATACAACGGACATACTCGCGAACAAGGGGTAGACACTCCTCATAAGACAAACCAAAGAGAAACATAGGCACGCACGCCCAAACAGAATCAAAGGCACGCAGGCCCAATCAGAGTCAAAGGCACGCAAGCCCCGGTAGAATTACACCAAAAGTGGACAAATCAATCTAAAAGTCAATGCAAACATATGGCCAAAGACGCCCAAGAATTGTATAAACCATAACTTTAATTTTACAAACAAGAGACACAATATCAAGAGGCTTATGATCAAAACAAACCTCATTCCGGGACTTCCAAGGCATAAAGACGGGTGCAGGCAAATGCGCTGCTGCTTCTTTAATTCGATGTGTTGCGACAATGCGACCGACCGAATAGTGTGCATAAAAGTGGTAAGAATTGAGACAGATCGGCTTCTTTAATGGCCATTTGGGTTAATTTAAAAAAAAAGATTAGGTAGTGTTCATAAATCCAACATGGCTTTCTAACTAAAAATTAAATGTTTCTTAATTCTTAAACAACAATTTGGTAGCTCTGCTACTTGGACATGGACATGTCCATCAAAATGTCAGACAATGAAAGAAAGACAATCTAATTAAGATTCACTCCCTCCCTGTCCCTTTGAATTGGACAAGACTATGCTTCCTCAGCAGAAGCCGGCATTGGAGGAGGTAGCATTTGTCCTCCACACCTCAACGGCATAACCATCGCTTGGTTACTACTACTACTACTACTACTACTACTACTACTAGCGATCCTTGTCAGCCGGATCGCTAGTAATTCCACGGCTTCCACCATCCATCCCTTCTCACAAACTTCTCTTGCTTCGCCGATACTTATCTGTAATTTGATCAGTGGTTTCAGACAATATGTATCTTTTTTTTTTGTGTGTGAACAGAAATTTGAAAAAAAAAATTGATCTTCTTACCCAGATCCTTTGTCGGATATTCTTCTCGGGCCAACAGTCGAGCTCCTCTTTGACAAGCAATGGGAACATATGCCCTTCACAAGCAATTCCGCTTCTCTTGCTCCCAAAGTTCCACGTTCCCAGTTTACCCTGTAATCAAATGCCAAGAGAAGATGTGTTTAGAGTACCAATCAAATGCCTGTTGATATATAATGTCAGAAAACATTGTAAAATATCAACATACAGTACACCATGTTGTGGCATTGCACAGAGCCAGTGCTCTTATTTAGATGATACAACAAATATAGGAGAAACTAACCTCGAGGTCACCTACGACTCCTGCTTCTTCTATGGTCTCCCGCAGTGCCGCAGTTTCCATTGTTTCGTCCATTTCCCATCCTCCCTGTCAAAGAGACAATCAAAAGGTTATGTCATTGCTGCAAGAGTTTTCAGCATTGTTGTTAAATATGGAACCCTACGTGCTGTTAATAAATTAAACATAAACAAATTGTATACCTTAGGAAACAACATCCCTTTCCCTTTTCTCTGGGGACTGATGACCAGAACTTCATAAGATGATTCTTCATCAAAAGGCAACGTCGCAACCGTATCCTTGTACCTGTACGGTATACACCTGCACCACGACAAATTCAAATTTGTAATCCTGCAAGATGATACTAACATTCCAATTCAAGAAATTCGAAAACAAGACATTATATATACACGGTGGTAACTCTCCACCACAATTATGTTCTACGTCACATAAAAAGTTTCACGTTTCTTTATTTGTTTGATCTAAAAAGACATTCTTTTTTCATTTTTAGTAAAAAAATGTGTTCCCACAATTTCCCTCTTTGTAGTCATGCATTTTCACTTTTATGCAGTAAATAATAGTGACCTATCAATTGTGAATTTTATTGGGAGACAGAGGTTGTAAGGAATAGTATCATGTCTTCATATCTCCTCCAACCAAGACCCTCATTAAAAAAAGAAGTTTAATTACCCCTTTCAAATATTAATTAATTGCAACTGTTATGCTTTAAAGTACAACTAAGTCAACCATGTGGTTTCAATGACACAGTTGAACAAGCCTTTCTGTCATGCACCTAAAATACACTGAGCTTTCTAACATATGGAATTTAATTCGATAAATGCTCATCCATGTAATATTTATTACTTATATGAGAGGGGTCCATACTTTTTATATGCATCTCTAATTCCAAACTTTCATTCTATGTAATATGCAAGAAATGGTGAAGACATGATAAACTATTGTGTTACTCTTAAGAAAAGTAGTTTTAAGACATAAAGTTTTAATTTCAGTTATGAAGACCACAAACATCACACTTCAGTTAAAATTAATGCGTGAAAAAACATGACTTTACAAAGTAAAAAACAAATAAAAATTAGATTATGCATAGTAGAAAATTCCAAATGACATGAGGGCAATTTCTCTCCTCCCCTGGTTTTGCTATGTTGTCTACAATTTCTCAAAAAATTTAATACAGAGTGGGTATACTAATTATCATAAAATACTACAAAATGGCAAACTAATTAGAAGTACATAAACCAAGAGTTAGATCTTGTTTTTTCGACTTACTTTTTTACTTATTACTTATTCTAATTGGAATCAGATCAAATCAGAAACGACTTTAAATATAACTACAATCAGAATAAAAACTTAATCGAATAAGCACCTCGGATCCGTACCACTGTCTTCAACCACAAGTTCAATTTTTGGTTCAATGGTTCTCAAACCCTAGTACGATGTACTTAAAGTCTTAAACCATCTTCCAACTTAAAAACGAGTTTGCATTTGGTTCCTCTTCATTTTTACGGACCAAAAAAATATGGACTATGATGGGAGAAATTGTACAACCATTTTTGTTAGAGAGAAAGACCAAAGTAAGAGTAAAACATTGAAAATATACTAAAATAGGACTTCCATGCTTTTATTTTCGAAATAAGACTTAAAATGCATTTACATTACCAAACATGGTCATGCACATTACCAAAAAATATAGCAATGTGCACATGTATGGTGTCACATTACAACCACATTACCACAATGTGAAGTCTTTTTCGGAAAAAAAACATAAAAATCCTATTTTGATACTTTTCTTTATGTTTTAGTCGTAATTAAGGTGATTTTTATTTTTGTTAATCTTTTCTCCCAAAGAGGATAAGTTTTAATTTAAAACTAATGAGGAATTTTGTGACAAATAAATAAAGAGAAAAATGCACCGTTTACCCCGAACTCTTTCAAAATTGCATGACTTACCCCGAAACATTGAAAAGTACACCATTTACTTTCGTACTTTTCAAAAATTACACGATTTACCCTTGAACAGTAAAAAATGCACCAATACCCCTGAACAATTTAAAACGTTGCGTCGTTGGTCCTAAAATGCTAGATAAGGAGTGCGTTCCTCCCACGCACGGAAATTGCGAGTATGATTCATCTGATCCTTGTGAATTAACCAAAGTACCTTTCCCTAAAGCTATCGTTTTTATTTAAATATTCAGGGATAAATCATGCAACTTCCGAAGAGGTGAGGAGCGTTTGGTACATTTTTTAATGTTCAGAAGTAAACCGTACAATTTCTAAAAAAAACTCAGGTGTATTTTGTGCACTTTTTAATGTTAAAGGATAAATCGTTTGATTTTAGAAAAATTCGGAACTAAATGAAGAAATAAATAAACAAACAAAGTCATTATTAAGTCAACACGCTGAGAGATTGGGATAGAGAGAAACAAAACAAGGATAGGAACAAAGTTTGAAGAAATTTCAACCATTTTCAATAATAATAATAATAATAATAATAATAATAATAATAATAATAATAATAATAATAATAATAATAATAATAATAATAATAAATCCCAAAGTATATCACAATTGAGAAGAAGCAGATAATCAGGTGCTGGAGCGAAGAGAAAATTGAAGGGATATATTAGGAATTAACATTTAAAGGAATAATAATGAGAGTACCCGACGACTTGCCGGCGACCATTGTCGTACCGCTGCATATTCCGGCCGGTACGCGAAACCATGTTTTCCAATTCCATTTGGCGATATGATGGAACTCAAAGGCTCAGTACGAGTGCAATTATGGTTAATATGCTCGGCAATTAATATGAGGGAATTGGAGAAGAAATTGGGCATATAATGGAGGAGGGAATTTGAATTGTGAAGAGAAGAGAGAGGGAATTGGCCAATTGGGGCGGTGTGCTCACACTCTCCTTTTTAGGGAGAACGAAACCGTTAATGGCACCTGTTCAACGTTATCTAAATTTGAAACCGACATTAATGAACCTTTTTTGTTTTGCCGCACCATTTCTTTGAAATTAATCCTAACTTTTTCGCCCACGGTCCTCACCCCCCTTTTGTCCCTCCCTCCTAACTTGTAAAAGCATCTCCTTTTTTGAGTTCGAACAAAGACCAAACTAGGACTAAAACATTGAAAATATATCAACATAAAACTTATATTTTCATTTCTTAAATAAGACTTACATTACCAAACATGGTCATATACATTACCAAAAAAGTATAGTAATGTGCACCAGGGCCGACCTATAGCATGTGCACGGTGAGCGACGGCACAGGGCCCAATTTCTTGAAGGGCCCCATTTTTTATACATTCATATTTACAGTACTAAAAAATGATTTTCTTTGTTCTTCCATATGCTTTGTTTCCACATCTTCTGCAATTGGCTTTTAGTTTCAGTGATCCATCACCATATTCCCATCTCTAAAGTCTGTTTAAAAAAAAACCGAGTGTTTTGTTAATATTGAAATTAAATTTTTTATTCCCAATTTTACTCATGATGTATTGTGCTGCAACTTTTAAGTTAATGTTGATGGATGTTTGAAAATTGTGATAATATAAACAAGAATTGTAGAGAAATCTTACGTTCCTTTTTTGTATAGTTTTAGTTTAATTTTTTGAGTAATAATAGCAACTGTAAATTTCAATGATCAGTTATTCTTATTTTGTATTGTATGCTGATACAATAAAATAAAACTATGTAAATTTTTTACAAGATATATTTAATAAAATCACTTAAAATGTATACATAATATTGTTTTTATTAATTTAATGTTTAAAATGTGACCATTTCAACTAAAAAAAAAGTCAAAATACATAAACCCCGTAATTGAATTTCATTGTGAAATCTAAAAAGCGTAAAAAAAAATGGATTAATGAATTAAAGGCCCACACTTTATTTTTCGCTCAGGGCCCATTGGATGTCCGGGACGGCCCTGATGTGCACATGTACACTGCCAGATTACCACAGTGCAAAGTAACATTATCACAGTGTAAAGTCCTATTTCGGGAAAAAAACATGAAAGTCCTATTTTAGTACTTTTCTCTATGTTTTAGTCTTATTTAGGATGATTTCTATTTTGAGTTTTAGCTTCAATTCCTAAATCTCATTATTTCCCTAGAAATCATTCTAAATAGGACTAAAATATAGAAAAATACTAAAATAGAACTTTCATGTTTTTTTCCCCAAAATAAGATTTCGTATTGTGGTAATGTGACACTGTACATGTACACATTACTACTTGTTGGTAATGTGCATGACCATGTTTGTTAATGTAAATGCATTTTAAGTCCTATTTTGAGAATAAAAATATAGAAGTCCTATTTTGATATATTTTCAATGTTTTGGTTCTATTTTAGTCTTTTTTCCTTATTTCTCTTGTTTATTCATTCTTGTGTTGCAAAGACCTTATATTATAACACAATTGCTAAATTTTAACTTTAACTTGTCACATTCTTCTCAAAATATAGCAAACCATTATATTAATAAAACAATTTTATCTCTTCCTGTCTCTCATTCTTCCTCTTCTCAAAATATTTTGTTGCTTGTGCTCTCTAATTTTTTATTGAGTTTTTTATCTACTCTCTAATTGATATTCATTAAATACTAAATAATTATATTTTATTAAATAATTATATAATTATATTTTACTCCCTCCGTCCTATAAAGATGGGTACGTTTTGACTAAAGTAGAAATTAAGGGAGGGATAATTTTGTGTTGACTTTCCAAAAATACCCTTGATGTGATGGGTAAAAGTATGATGTGATGTGTAGATTATTAGAAAAAAGGTATGATGTGATAGGTAGGTTTTGAAAAAGTAAGAGGTAAAAATGGTTTTTTAATAGAAATGGGTAAGGGATTGTGGGACGCAATTTTTTTGAAACGTGTAAATCTTTTTGGGACGGATGGAGTATTATTTTACCTACTGTAAAATATTTTTTTTAATTATTATTTTAAATTACATTCTTATTACTCCCTCCGTCCATTAATTTCTTCCTCTTTTTTTTGGGTCATCCAAAAATTTCTTTCTCGTTTTCTTATTTTGGCAAATTTTTTTTAATGAATGTGTTGTTAATTCTTCACTTTTTATCTACACTATTCACTTTATTCCATCACATCAACGGCAATACATGAAAAGTTTTTACACTATTAACTTTCTTTAACTTTGTATCAAGTCAAACCGAGAGAGTTTTTTTGGACAGAGGGAGTACTTAGTTTGTATAATACAATTTTAAAATTATTATAAATAGTGTAGTATAATAGTGAAAACAAGTATAATATCCTTTTTAGTTATATTGTACTCCCTCCATTTTAAAAAGATTATCACAGTTTGACTTTTTTGGTCAAACACTGAGACTCTTTGACTGTGAATTATGGAAAAAGTATACTTAATTATAATGTAAGTTTAGTAAAATTGTGTTTATTTTAAAATATAGTTTTGAAATATCATTTTTTATCATATTTAATTATTTTGAACTATATTTAATTTCTGCTCAAAGGATGTCATAGTTTAACCAAAAAAGTCAAACTTTTACAATATTTTAGAGAGGGAGTATTATAGCAAGAGAATGTTGGCGATGAAAATCAAAATGGTTTGATCTACGACTACTCACATGCTAAAAAATGATTTTAACAAGAAATGTTTAGCAAGTGTGCTTGGAGATGCTCTAGGATCATACAAAGTTGTGCTTATTTTACAAGAGAAAATTGTTAAAATAGAAGTAAAACATAGACTTCATCTTCAAAATAAAAATGTTATGTTCTTTATAGGTACATAGTTAGAACTAAAAAAGTACCGTACTTTTTTGCGTAAATAGGACCTAATTCATGCATGAGACTAATATTTTGCTCATCAAAAGACTACACTGCCCTTACAGAAAACCTGCATTATTGCCAAATCGCTAAGCAACATGCATTTAAAACCATTATTACTGCCCAATTGCGAAGATAGTATATAATGAAAACCATCATTACTGCACTAAAGGCAAACATTACTGTCTATCGCGAAAGAAGTATGTACTAGAACCAACATTACTGTCTAGTCGTGAAGGCGGTAAAAATGGGTAAAATGAAACTGGAAATTTGAAATTAACCGTAATAAGTCCTTTGTGTAAACATTTAAAAGTCCCAATTGTGTGAATAATGTTCCATCTTTTAGTCTTGTTGGGATTAACACGCGTGCAAACACACACAATCACGAATCATATACAGAAATGAATGATACAAGATTTAACGTGGTTCGATCGGCAACTGTAACCTACATTCACATGGGAAACTAGGATGATTTTATTTCATTTGTTGCACACCAAGATTACAAGCACAATCTATACTATATTTTAAAAGAGGTGAATTTTTTCTCGCCCATATGTAAGAGTAATATATGGAAATGTTATGCAATTTACTCATTATATATATGTGGATGCATTAAATTTAGTATGCATTAATTAATACACCATAAATCAATAATTAATGGTAAATAGAATATGTTAAGGGTAACTTTGCATGAGCATTAAAAATGAGGAATTTCATAGAAGTATTAACCAATACATAGTAATTAATTAATAATTAATGGTAATATAAAATTTCAAATGACCACTAAAATTGTTTCCATTTTTATTTAAACATATCAATATGTTTTTTAATAACAATGAAATAGTAAGGTGGAAAGGGAAATATGTTTTGATTTTTATTTAAATGTAATGCCAATTAATGGTAAATGATGATAAATGGGAATATGTTTCTATTTTTATTTAAAAAATTATGTTTTTGTAGGAGCATTAATTTTTTTTATTTTTATTTAAATACATTAATATGTTTTATTTTTAATAACACCGAAAATAGTAATTCAAAAAGGTAAATATGTTTCTATTTTTATTTAAATGCTACGTCAATTAATGGTAAGTGTTGCTATGGTAATTTTGGATTCTATTAATTAATAATTATATGGTAAAAGGGAATATGTTTCTATTTTTATTAAAAAATGATTTTTTTCGTATGAGCATTAAAAAAGTTTCCATATTTATTTAAAACTTATTACCATTTTTTAAGTTTAAAATTTTCATTTATTTAAAACTTTATTTAAAATAGTTATTTCCATTTTTTTCCAAGTCTAAAATTAAAACTTATCACCATTTTGATTTAAGTGTAAAAATAATAACGTACACTTGGATTTTTTATCTTATTCAACGGGTAATGAAATATACTTGGATTTGCAAAACATTAACTATTTTTGATAATATGAAAAGAAATGAATAAAATAACAAAAAATGGAAGTTCTCTATTAAAGTTCACTTTTATCATTAAATGAAAAAATAATTACCCGAATAAAAGTCTCTTTATAAAGTATTTAAATGGAATCATAAATTATGAATATGATGTATGAATAATTCTACTTTGAGAATCACGAACGTTTTATTTTTATTTTTTAATATTTAGGGGATTTTGTCTACATTATACAATGTGGATAGATAATATTTATTTGGTAATCGATGGTCTCAATAAAGTGGTATCACCGCCTCAAATTTTGGTGATGCAAATAGTGACACCTAACATTAAAAAAATTGGACACAAACATTTAATTGTCTAATGAGTATATTTAAAACTCCACTTTATATTTTAGAACGAGTGATCAGTTACACAAATATTTAAAACTCCACTTTATTAGCAATTCGACAAAATGAAAAAAAACAACACAATTAACTCTGAACAAATTTTTATACCGGAGTTTTGATTAATGTTATTTATATACAATGAAGATAGTATTTTTACAAATTTATATGAGTAATGTGAATTTTAAAGTAATCTTTCAAATATTGTAAATAATTTAACTTTTGTAACTTAAAAAAAATAAAATCCCTATATTCCATTATATACTAATTTGTGACATTCAAAAATGATATTAATATAATTTAGTAACTTAAATATGACTCGTGCAACG